ACAGGGAGATAGGAAGCGAGAAAATATCCCCTAGAGAGGATGGCCACGCCTCAATCCCTTTCCTCCATCCTCTTCTCAGGATTTTGGACATACACAAGCACACACACCCAGCATGAGTTTTAAGCCTCCAGGTCTGGGATTTGAACCATGGTTGACCATGTGAGAGTCCAGAGATGTAACCATTACACCATCTACTGATCCTATGGTCATCAGCTTTAAAGGTTTTGAAATAGAATTTTTATTATAGTACCCAGAGTTTATCAGAGTGATTTGATGATGCAGATTTATAAATAAGGAATGGTTTATAAACAGAGCTGGCAATTTATTTATGTACAGTGACAAAACTAGTTATATCTGCTATTTGGGTCTCCCTGATCCTTGGGCCAAGTCATTTGTGAGTCCACACTACAATGAAAAAAATTTGCTTGTGTGGGGTCAGCAGGTAGCATAGTGGTTAAGGCACTGAACCCCCACATAGCTGTCCACAGTTCGAGTCCTCCACCAGGTGGCTTGAAAATCACAGTGAGCGGGAGCAGCAGTTGGTGTAATGGCTATGTCGCTGGACTCCCATGTAGTCGACCACGGTTCAAGTCCCGGATCCGGTGGCTTAAACTTACACCAGGCATGTGTGCATGCGTGCCCAAGATCCCTGGAGGAGAATAGAGGAGAAGGGATTGCAGCGTGATCACCCCTCTTGGGGGTGATTTCTCGCTTTCTGTCTCTCTGTCTCTCTCTCTTTCTGGCGAGGTCACATACCCTATAGCAAAAACCTCTCCGAAAAAAAGAAAAAAAAAATCATGCTGAGCACCCCAGGAGGAGAATGGAGGAGAGGATTGCCCCAGGGGTAGGAATGATTTCTAACCTTCCTTCACACTGTCTTTGTCTATCTCTCTCTGGGAGTGCACATCCCCTTTGGTGGAAAAAAAAAAAAAATTAAAAGGGGGGATGTGGACAGCAAGTGGCATGGCGGTTAAATCACTAGACTCCCACAAGACCAACCATGGTTCAAGTCCCAGACCTGTTGGCTTGTTTTCTCTCTCTCTCTCTGGTGAGCATACATGCCCTACAGCAAATTAAAAAATAATAATGGTTAATAAAATTAATTAAGTAATGTGAACAAAAGAAGTTTGCCTGTGGAGTCAGGTCCAAGGATGACCTGCAGCTCGGGGCATGTTCTCCATCTCCTAGCCCCATGTCTGCCTTGTCTGTCTCCCTACCAGAGTGTGTATCTCTCTGTAAGACTAAATCTCTTTCATAAAACTGGGAGTTCATCCTTTATATTTTGATTATTTTATATTTCATTCTGTAACTTTCCTTTGAAATTCTAGGGATGACTTTCTCATGTTCTCCTTCCTTCTTGCTCCTTGGACCCTGGAGTGGCTATAGTAGAAAACTAGAGCATTCTCCAGCATGGCTTTAGTCAGTATGAGAGAGATGAGAGAAATTGTTGAATGGGGGTCCTATGGAGTGTAAGGAGTTGGTTCTTTTTGTTTGTTTGAGAGAGACTTTTTCGCTATAGGCCTCATGTGGTTGCTGGAGAGAGAGAAAGAGAAAGTGAGAAGTCACCCCGGGGGGGATGGCACTGCCACAATCCCTTCTCCTCCATTCTCTCAGGATTTGGGGCACACACGTAAATGTGAGTTTCAAGCTGCCAGATCCAGGACTCGAACCACTGTTGGCCATGTGGGAGTCCAGTGCCTTGACCCCTAGACCACTTGCTGGCCCAGGAGTTGCTTTTTTTTTTTTTTTTTTTTGTAGCTCTCTCTTATCAAGTTGAGAAAGTTTTCTCCCATTCCTCATTTCCCAAGAGCTTTATTTTTATTATAAATGGGTATTAAATTTTATCAAATGATTGTTAATGTGTCAGAGTGATCTTATGAGGTTTTTTTTCTTTGTTGATCTATTCATGAACAAATAAAGTTTAATAAATAATTCAAAAAGTTATTTTTTTTATTTTTTGATTTGACCAAAGAGAGAGAGGGAGATAAAGAAAGGAAGCAAGCCACCAGGTCTGGGACTTGAACTATGGTAGACCTTATGGGAGTCCAGTGCCTCAACTACCATGCATGTTGGCCCTGCAGGAGTTGGTTCTTTTGGGGGGTTGGGGGGTGGAGAGGTTTTTGCTATAGGGCATGTGCGCTTGCCAAAGAGAGACAAAAAGCGAGAAATCATCCCCCAGGGGGGATGGCCATGCCACAATCCCTCCTCCTCCATTCTCCTCTTGGGATCTTGTGCACGCACGAACACGCACCCAGCATGAGTTTAAACCACCAGGTCCAGGACTCGAACTGCGGTCGACTACATAGGAGTCCAGCGACATAGCCCTTACACCAATTGCTGGTCCCCAGGAGTTTGTTATTAATTCATTTGGCTTGGGGAGCTATTGGAAGGGCATTGGAAGTGGTAAAGGAGTGATAAGCGTTATAATATTTATTGTTATTTTAATAGCAAAGGCATCATCTCCAGAGCTTAGAACAGAGAGAGAGAAACTAAACTTGGACAGTTTAGTGAGTGTTGGACTGTTTATTCTAAAGAAACTAGCTGTGCCCAAAATCCTGAGAGGATAATGGAGGAGAAGGAATTGCAGCGTGGCCATCCCTCCTGGGGGGTGGTTTCTCTCTGTCTGGCTGGTGAGTGCCATGCCCTATAGCGAAAACCTCCCCAAAAAAAAAAAAAAAAGAAACTAGCTGTGGACCAACAGGTGGCATGGCAGTTAAGGCACTGGACTCACACACATGGCAGACCACGGTTTAAGTCCTGGCAGCTTGCTTACTCACTTTCCTCCTCTCTCTCTTTGTCTCTCTCTGGTGAGTGCTTATGCCCTATAGCAAATTAAAATAATGATAGATAAATAAATAAACAAATAGTTCCAAAAACCCCCAGCTGTTTCTTAACCTTTCAGTTCCTCGAATGAAGTAGTTTGAGTTCCTTTGTTAGTGGAATGAAATTCCCCTTTTTAACCAGAAGATGGGGCTGGAAACAAATCTTCAGAAGCATTTCTTGGCAAGTGTTTTACTGCACCTGCTTTTCCCATAGCTTCAATCAATAGTTTGCAATTGTGAATATACTTCAGAATCACACAGGCAGTTTTTTAAATGTATACTGATGCCATAGCCCCCACACAAAGAGTCTAATTTAATTGGTCTGGAGTGTGCTCTGGGTAAGTGGTTAAACTAACCCACACATTCTAGTCATGTGGGAGGCTTTGAACACTCCAGCCCAAACTGAAGCCAACAGAATACCCGAGGTCAGAATACCTGGGGCAGGTCCAGCCCTCAGCTGAGTGATGGCAGTATTCAACCACCCCTGGGAACTGCTGCCCAGGGACCTTCCCAGGTGATTCGATTATGCATGCCTTCCGCCATCAGTTCTGACTTCCAGCAGGTACCAATCACAGACATTCAGAAGCCACTATGGCTGTAGCCACAGTTAAGAAAGAGTGGATGGAGGTGCGGAGATTCCATCTGTTACCTCCCACTCCCCTGTGTGGAGAGGCTCAGTCTTCTGCCTTTCCTTGTTGGGAGCTAGCTGGTGCAGGAATTCATGGAAGGGACAGAGAGTAAGGTCTTAGCCTGGCAGAGAGGAAGCGACAAAGAACAGCTGAGAGCAGATGTCATCCAGGACCCTCTCTATCTATGTGTCCCCCCAGCTTTGTGACGACAAACTGTGCTCTGCAGTTTTCGTCCCGTGGAATCCGGCCTGGCCTTACCACTGTCCTAGCTCGGAACCTGGACAAGAACACTGTGGGCTACCTGCAGTGGCGATGGGGTATCCAGTCGGCCATGAACACTAGCATCGTCCGGGACACTAAGACCAGCCACTTCACTGTGGCCCTGCAGGTGAGCCAAGGCGGGTCCCCACCCAGACCTCAGTGCGCCACATACACCCTGCATCCTGATCACCTACTCTAGTCTGAGCACCTGTAGGGGCCCTGGGCCAGGCTCTGACTACTCACACCCAGGAATGATCTGTGAGAAGCATCACAGGGCTTATTTTTGGGTGGGGAGGGGCAGATGGTAAATATGCTACAAGGTGCATGTGTTCACTGGGGTGAGAGAAATAGAGAGCACCCTCAGGGAAGATGGCATGACACAATATCTCTTCCATTTTTCCGCTCAGGATTTTGAGCATACGTGCATATGCACCTAGGGTGTTTTTCAAGCTGCCAAATATGGGACTCAAGACAACTCAGTTGGCCATGTAGGCCAGCTGCCTTAACCACCATGCCACCAGCTGGCCCCATCACAGGGTTCAAAATAGTTATTCTCAAACACCCTGAGTAACTGTGTTCAGGTTTTTGTTTTGTTTTTTGATCTAGATTCTTTTTTTTTTTGGAGAGGTTTTTGGTATAGGGTGCGTGCGCTCGCCAGACAGACAGACAGAAAGACATAGAGACAGAAAGTGAGAAATAACCCCCCAGGGGGGATGGTCACGCCGCAATCCCTTCTCCTCCATTCTCCTCTCGGGATCTTGGGCACGCACGCACATGCGCCCGGCGTGAGTTCTAAGCCACCAGGTCCGGGACGCAAACCGCGGTCGACTACGTGGGAGTCTAGTGACATAGCCATTACGCTAACTGCTGGTTCCCAGGTTTTTGTTTTGTTTTTTAAGAATTATTTTATTTAACTGTATTTTAATTTGACCAGAGAGAGAGAGAAAGAAAGCAAGAAAGCAAGCTGCCAGATCCAGGACTGGAACCACAGTCGGCCATGTGGGAGTCCAGTGCCCTAATCACCATACCACCCTGCTTATTCTAAGCAACTAGGAGGAGTTCACAGGAGTAGGGTGGGAGCACTGCTTGGCAAATGAAGCCCAAAGCAGATTTTTTCACTCAGGTGCCACAGGCTAGGTAGGAAGTGAGGAGCCACCCCCTGGGACACGGCCACTCGTCAGCTTTCACCCAGGAACACAGATTCAATGTTGCCAGAATTGTTTATTTTCATGAGAACCTAGAAAACTGGGTTTTTAAGTAAAATCTCCCAGTTTGTAAATCCTGATTCCTAATAAATTTTCACACACGTGTGCAACTGCCCTATAGGCCTGTCACAGTGGACCCCAGCAGTTGGTAGGAGGGCAGATGCCCGACTTCCCCCTGAGAGTCATGGGTTCTAGCCACATGTCCTTGACCCTCTGTCTCCTCAGCTGGGGATCCCTCACTCCTTCGCACTGATCAGCTATCAGCACAAGTTCCAGGATGATGATCAGACACGTGTGAAAGGGTCCCTCAAGTAAGTCCCCTGGCTGGTGGGAGTGTACTGGGTCTGTCGGGGTTCCTCATGGTGGAGCTGGTGGGTGGAAGGTGCCTGGTCATGTAACACTCTTCCTGTGTGTGTGATGTTTCTTGAGAGCCTCTTGTTGTGAAGCCATGGGAATTTCATACTCTGCATTCCTGACCCTTGAGGAGCCCAGAGACTAATGAAAGAGCTAGCCTGTGGGTGCCCCCACTTTGTTCTGTTCACGAAGGGCACTCGTCATGAATGTGGGTGGTGGGAGGAGAGGCAGGAGGCCCAGCCCCTGTTCTAAACGGCACCTGCCTCTGGGGAGTGCCCCTGGGGAGGTGAACGCAGGACCCAGACACCGACAAGCCGCACCTTCTGCACGATCTGCTCCCCACAGGGCAGGCTTCTTTGGGACCGTGGTGGAATACGGGGCTGAGAGGAAGATCTCCAGGCACAGTGTCCTGGGTGCAGCCGTCAGCGTGGGCGTCCCTCAGGGAGTCTCTCTCAAAGTCAAGTAAGTTGAATGTGGGTCTTTCTGACCAAGGGATGTCTGGCAGCATCACTCAGCTGGACTTCACCTACATTTATCGCCTCTGCTTTAAGATACTTTATTTTATTTTTAACTGAGAAAGAACTAATGAAGGGACCAGTAGATGGTGTGATGTTTATATCACTGGAATCCCACATAGTCCACTGCAGTTCAGGTCCCTGAACCAGCAGCTTAAACTCATGCTGGGTGTGTGTGTGTGTGCGCGTGTGTGTGACCAAGATACCAAGAGAATGGAGGAGAAGGGATTGTGGTGTGGCCATCCCCCCAGGGGTCATTTCTCGCTTTCTGTCTCTCTGTCTCTCCGGTGAGTGCACACACCATATAGCAAAAATCTGACCCTTTCCTTCAATAGAAATAAAAGCTTCGGGCATGTACACTGACCAGAGAGAAAGAAAGGGAAAAAACACCCCCATCCCCTGCCTCCTACCATGGGGCATGGTTACACCACAGTCCCTCCTCTGTTTCTCCGATCTCATCTGGATTTTGGGCATGTACACACATATGCCCAGCATGTTTTTCAAGCCTTCAGGAGCAGGATTCAAACCACGTTTGGCCATGTTGAATTTAGTTCTAACCATTATGCCGTGCGACTGGTCCCTCAGAAGGTTTTTGTTTGTTTGTGCTTTTTGTTTGTTTCTTTTTAGTCACTTTAGTTTTTGCTATAGGGCACAAGCACTCGCCCGTGAGAGATAAATACAAAGAGGGAAATGAAGAAATCACCCTTCACGGGAAACCAGCAGTTAGCGTAATGGCTATGTCGCTGGACTCCCACGTAGTCGACCATGGTTCGCGTCCCGGACCCGTTGGCTTAAAACTCACGCTGGGCACATGTGTGTGTGTGCCCAAGATCCTGAGAGGAGAATGGAGGAGAAGGGATTGCGGCATGACCATCCCCCCTTGGGGGTGATTTCTCGCTTTCTGTCTCTATGTCTCTCTGTCTGTCTGGCGAGCACACGCGCCCTATAGCAAAAACCTCTCCAAAAAAAAAAAAAAAAAATCACCCTTCAGGGGGCATGGCCACACTGTAATCCCTTCTTTTTTTAGTCTCAGGATTTTGGGCATGCACACATATGACCATTGTGATTTTTAAGCTTCAGGGTCCAGGATTGTGCAGCCTGCTATACGGGATCCCGTGCCTTCACCTTCGTGCCTCCTGCTGGCCTAGAGGGTATTCCTTGTCCTCAGCTGTGCCTACTCTCTCTTCAGCTTGTGCCTCAGTGTCCATTGCTTCTTGCCAGTCTACCTGCACTTTAAGGACATCACACTTGGGCTCTGGTTTGCCCTTACTGCTAGCTGCTCCTTTTCTCCCAGATTTCCCAGTGGAAGCAGTGCTGCAGGGCACAGTCATTCTGTCTAGAATCTTTCCCCACGTGGTCCTGTCCAGCCTTATGGTTTCCAATACCTTCTTGTAATGATGACCCTCATAATGAGCTTCAGCCTGGCCCACCCCCTCTCTAGTATGTCCAGTATCCTTCCTAAATCTCTGCTCGGAGATCTAACAGCATCTCGGAGTTCTAGCAGAGTTCTAGATCCCCTCCTTCTGCCGTCATGCATATATCCTTCAAAACCTGCTCTGTCTGAAGTCTTTCCTCACCTCCATAAATGAGATCTCCAGCCTTCCGTTCGCCTTGTCCAAAAACCTTGACCTTATCCTTGATTACATTTTCCCCACACTCCAAAACTTAGCCCATCTCAGAATCATCTCACATCCACCCTGCACGTGTCTCCTGAAGGTGCCTGTTTGTCCCAGCTCCCTGCCGCTGTGGCCTCATGTTTCCTTCCTGCAGTGTCCTGCAGCTGCTGTCCTGCACGGTGGGCTTTTCTCCATGCAGGCAGAATAACTCTTGTCAGTCATAGAGCAGTTATGTCACTCTTTGCTTAAATCCTCATAACTCCCTTTGGGACCAGCAGTTGGCATAGTGGCTATGTCACTAGACTCCCATGGGGTCGACTGCAGTTTGAGTCCCTGACCCGGTGGCTTAAACTCACACCAGGCGTGTGTGCGTGTGTGCCCAAGATCCCGAGAGAAGAATGGAGAAGGGATTGTGGCGTGGCCATCCCCCCTGGAGGGTGATTTCTCGCTTTCTGTCTCTCCGTCTCTCTCTTTCTGGCAACGGCACACACCCTACAGCACAAACCTCTTCAAAAAAATTAAAAAGCCTTGTAACTCCCTCCATTCAGGACAAAACGCAGAGTCGATGATGTAGCCTCTCGCTGTCCTGACCTCCTGTCTTCTACCCACCTCCCACTCACCCACTCCAGCCATCCTGGCCCCGGAGCTCTTCCTGTGACACACCAAGCCTACTTCTGCTCCTGACATGGCATTTGCTGCCTCAATCCTCAGAGAAATATGTAGTTGATTTCTTCACTTCCCTCAGGTCTCTCCTCAAATGTCACTTAATGTTGAAACCTTCCCTTGTCGCCTTATATAAAATTCTGACCCCTCTCTGTCTCCCCAGACCATCCCTTCCTTTTGATCTATATATTTTCTGCCACACCAGTTTCCATCTGGCAGGCCAACGCCTTCCCAGCAGAAGTAAGCTCTCTTCACCTTAGTCCATTTATACTGTGCTTTGGAGCCTAGGACACAGCCTGGGATCTAGAGGCCCCAAGAGAGTGAGTGGGGAGTGAGAGCCACAGCACCTCTCAGATGAGATTCAGGAGCACCTGAGGTTTAATAAAAGCTGTATAGAAATATGATAGATTTTCTGTATTCTGATCCCTCTTCTTTTTTTTTTTTTAATTTTTATTTTTTTTTAGAGATTTTTGCTATAGGGGACACGTGCTTGCCAGAGAGACAGAAAACGAGAAATCATCCCCAAGGGAGGGTGGCCATGCTGCAGTCCCTTCTCCTTCATTCTCCTCTCAGGATTTTGGCTATGTACACACATGCACCAATGTGAGTTTCAAGCCACCAAATGCGACTCAGACTGCAGTTGGCCACATGCAAGTCCAGCACCTTAACCAACACCACCTGCTTGGCCCTGATTCCTCTTTTTTTTTCTTTTAAAGAGAGATTTTTGCTATAGGCATGTACACTTGCCAGAGAGACAGAGAGAAAGGAAGGAATAACCCCTCAGGGATGATGGCCATGCTACATCCTTCCATTCTCCTCTTGGGATTTTGGACACATGTGCACACACACCCAGCCTGTTTTAAGCTGCCAGATCCAGGACTTGAACCGTGGTTGTTGTGTGGGAATCCAGTGCCTTAACCACTACGCCACCTGGTGGCCCTGTGATTCCTCTTTTTTAAAATCCAAATTACAATGTGAATCAGCGAGATACAGTTCTCTGTGGTTCAGTTACGATATTTTGACACTTCTATGCAGGTGGTAAATGACATAATCTGAATTGAATTCTGAACCCAAGAATGCCACTCTGTTTCATTGGAAGGAAACATTTTCATTGCAGCCAAGTTTTCTGTGTTAATGTGGCTAAATTGTCAAATTAAGTTGATATATAAATGGGAATTTTGCCAGAAGATGTCTAAGTTTTAAGAAACTTCGCTTTTGTATTCTGTTTATTTGATAGTTCCTCTATATTTGTGTTTTAGACAAATTTTTACTATAGGGCATATGCGATGTCAGAGAAATAGAAGTGAGAAATAACTCCCCGGGAGGGGGTGGCCACGCCTCAGTCCCTTGTCCATTCTCCTCTTGGGATTTTGGTCACACACGTACATGCACCTGGCATGAGTTTCAAGCCACCGGTCCAGCACTTGAACTGCAGGCAGCCATGTGGGAGTCCAGCCTTGTAACTGTTATACCATCTGCTGGTCCCCACATTCGTTTTTTAATGCTAAACCAACTTTATATTCCTGGAGAAAATTCCACTTGATCATGTCATGAATTTTGCTCAATTTGCTGACATCTTACTGAGTTTTTTTGTTGTTGTTTTGTTTGTTTGTTTTTTGTTTTGCCAGAGGTCATGTGCACTCACAACAGAGTGACAAAGATGGAAAGAGGGAGAGGGAGAAAGAACTCTCCCCAATGGGACATGATCATGCCAACTCTCTTCTACTCCGTTCCTCCAGCCTTTTGAGATTTGGGGCACAAATTCACACACGCGCAGTTTGTTTTTCAAGCTCCCAGGGTTGGGGATTCAAGCTGTGTGGTTAGCCATGTGGGGTGACCGCATCTGTTCCATCTTATGTCAGTGTTGCTAGATTTGTGTTTTTCAAGGAATTTGTCTATTTTGTGTGTCAGATTCATTAGCATAAAATGGCTTATAATAGCTATCTATCTTTTTAACTCGTATAGTTATCTGTAATCCCTCTTTTCACCCCTAACATTGGTAATTGTGCCCTTTTTTCCTTACTTTTTTTTTTTTTTTAAAGAATTATTTTAACTTGGGACCAGCAGTTAGCGTAATGGCTATGTTGCTGGACTCCCATGTAGTTGACCACTGTTCGAGTCTCGGACCTGGTGGCTTAAACTCACGCCAGGCACATGTGCGTGCCTGCCCAGGATCCCGAGAGAATGGAGAAGGCATTGCGGTGTGGCCATCCCCCTGAGGGGTGATTTCTCACTTTCTGTCTCTCTGTCTCTCTCTGTCTTTCTGGCAAGCGCATGCGGCCTGTAGCGAAAATCTCTCCAAAAAAAATATATATTATTTTAACTTTATTTGTTTGTTTGTTTGTTTAAACTTGACCAGAGAGAGACAGAGTGAAAGAGACAGGGAAAGTGAGAAAGCAAACCAAAAGGTCCAGGACTTGAACTGTGGTCAGCCATATGGGAGTCCAGTGCCCTTAACTACTGTGCCATCTGCGGCCCCACCTTACTCCTCTTAATCAATCTGGTTAAAGTACTTCCTTTTCAAAGAAACTAGCTTTTGCCTTTGTTAATATTTTCTACTGTTTATCTGTTTTCTTTTTTTTTTTTTTTTTTTGGAGAAATTTTTGCTATAGGGTCTGTGCACTCGCTGCAGAGACAGGGAGACAGAAAGCAAGAAATTACCCCCCTC